GAGAGTCAGCTCACGCAGCTGATTTTCCCGGCGCCTCCCGGCGCCGGAGGCGGCTATGTATCGAGGAATGGGCCCCTCGGGTGAGGCCGAAATCAGCTGCATGCAGCACATTTCGTAACCCCCCCGTTTCCCAATCCCCCCCCTTCGCCTGGCCCGATCTTGGGCCCCCGCGCCCGCCCCCCCAGCTGCCGACAGCTCCCCGAAAATTAAAGCTCAGCCCTGCCCCCGACCGTCCCCCTGCGGCTGCGCCTCGCCCCGGGCGCCGCGCCCTCCGCCGCCCGCCGCGCGCCGCTCGCTCTGCCCCGGCCCGCTCCTCCCGACTTAGGGGGCCACATGCGAGCCCCTACCCCTGCCCCCCACGATTTCTGAGGGGGAGGGTGGGGTTCGCTTCGTTCCAGAACTCCCGAGCAAAGTGAACCCCACCCTCCCCCTCAGAAATCGTGGGGTGGGGGGTAGGGGTAGGGTTCGCATGTGGCCCCGTACGACTGCCTCCCGCCCCGGCGCCTCAGGGGAACGTACACTTCGGCGGTGGACAAACCTCCCTTTAGGAAACCTCCCCTCAGTGAAAACGGCCTGGGACCGAAACCGACGGACCTGGAGCCGCAGAAAGGACGTCAGCGACGCCCGCTCGCACATCGAACACGGCCAAGCCCTTGATCGACGTGTCGGGGTAGGAGGTCTCTCCACCCCCGATTCTTCTCCTTCTTCTCCGATTCGCGAAAGGGCGTCGGAAGCGCGGAGGCCGAATCGGAGAAGAAACGGGACTCGGGATCCGATTCCGAAACGGGCCTCCGAGGAAGTCCGCGCGGGTAGAAGGTCTCTCAACCTCCGAACAATGGCCTAAACGTCAAAGCTCGGAGGCCCGCGCGGACTTCCTCGAATCGGCGCCGGGGGCCCCCTGGCGGCACCTCCGGCGCCGCCCCCTGGCGCGCTCCGCGCGCCAGGGAGGGGGGTCCAGCGCGGATCCAAGAAATCCGCGCGGACCTCCGAAGTTTTCATGCACATGCCATTTCCAGCTCCCTACGCTTGTGAATGCCATGGCACTGGACGCTCTAACAATCCGATCATTGACTTGAAGATGTGTTTAAAATGTGAAAAACATGTGCTAAAAATATGTCAAGCATGTTTTTTCTACAGATTTAAGACATGCTTGAAATATCTGTTAGGCATCTGGAAATTATTTGGCAGCATGCCTCCTCTCCACGAATCGACTTCCACGACCCTACGCTTGCCTCACGCTGCAGGCCAATCTCCTGGGCCTGGCCGCCCTCCAAGCGCGCTCCTCCGAAAGACCCGAGGCCCCCAAGACCCTGCCGCGGTCGAGACTTGGCCGCTTTCGGCCTCCGGGGGCCCTCAGGGCCTCAGGACCGTCCAAAAACGACTCGGAATGAAAAGCCACTACCTACCAGACCACCCCAACCCAACCCGAAGACCCGAATTTCGGCTTGGGGGGGCACGGGTTCCAGATGTATTGTTTCAATGTTCCCCGACCCCCCCCCACTGGAAATGGAGGGCAAATTGAGGCCTTCGGGTCGGGTTGGGGTGGTTTCGTGGGCGGTGAAAGGGCGGGCCAGACTTCCAGGGGTCCGTGGAGAGCGCCAGACGTCCGTGCTGGCTCGGGCGGGTTGGTAAAAGCCCCGGGCTGCGCGCAGACAGCCCCCCCCATCAGCCCTGGCTGGCCCCAAAAAGCGCCCTGGGTAGTCCATCGGGAGCGGCCAAGAGGAGGGTGTTCAAGAGGGGGGGGTGCAAATCATGACCGGCGGCACGTGCGCGGCCCAGCGGGGGGGCCTGGGACGTGATGAAATAAGAACAGGCGCCATGAGATCTGAGGAAAAATCATGGCCCGCGCCATGAAATCCACCCCCCCCTAGTCATCACCCCCCTCTTTTCCGCTCCCGAGTCCAGCTGGCCTCAGCAGGCCTCCCGGGCAGCCTAGGGCGGGCTCAACACCGCGGCGCCGCCTCGAGCGGCGCCCCCAGGGCGCTCCGACGCCCCAGGGTTCGTGTGCGGAGCCCGCCCCGAGCTGCTCGGAGGGCCTGCGGAGGCCGTCTGCGCGCAACCTGAAGCCCTGCTGCTCCTCCTCCTCCTCCTCCTCCTCCTCCTCCTCCTCCTCCTCCCTCCTCCTCCTCCTCCTCCTCCCTCCTCCTCCTCCTCCTCCTCCTCCTCCTCCTCCCTCCTCCTCCTCCTCCTCCTCCTCCCCTCCTCCTCCTCCTCCTCCTCCTCCTCCTCCTCCTCCTCCTCCTCCTCCTCCTGCCGTCTGCGCGCAACCTGAAGCCCTGCTGCTCCGGAGCTGCCCCAAACTGTCGCCATCCCTGTCGCCATCCCTGTGCCTGCCCTGCGATGCCGCCTACGGCGGGTCCGTGCCGTGACGGCGCTCCTCCGGCACAGATCGCTCAGTGTCGGAGACACATCGCCGCTGGTGGCGTTCAAGCTTGAACGCCCGCGGTGCGGTCGTCGCTGGGTCGACACACCACAAGCCTACAGCGGAGGCCCGACCACAAGAAACCCTCCACGAGAAACCCAACCCTGAGACCCCAGGACGTCCATAGATTCTTGGAGTGGGAACGTCAGGCCTTCCACAGCAAAACCACCGAAACCCAAGAAACCCAGAGCACCCTGGAAGCAAGCAGGGTGTTTCTTGGCATGGGCCTCCACTGTACCATACTCCCCGCGTGCGCACCCGCCCAGCTGGCCGCTGGCCTCGGCCTCCCCCCTGCGCGTTCGCCGTCATCTGCCTGCGTCTCCCTTCCTCTCCCCGTCGCTGGACAACACGGCCTGTCTGGGCCCTGTGTGACGGCGCAAAGGGCTCTGGCCTGAAGTACTGGGGATCCGATCATCGGATAAACGCAAGAGTGACCCTGGATAAGAGTGACCTTTGGTGCGCGGCTCTTTGGGTGCCGCGGGGGGGGCCAAGCACAAGCGCGCAAGATGCTACTACCGCATCGCATTCAGTGATCGGGGGTTCCCAATGGGCCCGCACCAAAGGTCACTCTGGCGAAGGGTCACTCTTACATGTAGTCGAAATAACTGTGCTCCCCTCGCTTCGGGACTCACCCCTGGCCTGCAACCAAGCTCCGTGACCCAGACCCCCGACGTCATGACTTGTTCACAACGTCGACCCCCAGCGACCTCGACCAGTTCCTCACCCGGAGTCGTTTCTTCACGGTCCCGAGGCCCGGGAAGGGCCCCCCGAGGCCGAGGATAGCGAACAACTGTCCGTCGCGATGTTGTCCTTACTCGAGGGGGTCTGGGGGCGCGGCCCTGTGCACCACTCTCCCCGCGTAAGCCCTGGGCGCTCGTCCCCCTTGCTGCCGCCGATCTCCGCTGCCGTCGGCCCTGCCCCGCAAGAGCCCCTGGCCCCGACGGTGCCCTGCGCCGCCGGCCGCCTTCGGGGGCGGCGGAGAGGGTGGCGCCCACGGGGGGAGTCCGCAGAGATCGTGGCCCGGGGCATGTGCGCGGACGAGCGGGGAGCCACGGAACGCAATGGAAAAACAAAAAAAAGACGGGGCCATGAGATCTGTACACCATGGCCCCAGCCATGATATCCCCCCCCCCCTGGTCACCACCCCCTCCCCTCTGGGCCGCCCCCGACAACAGTCCCTGGCCCCGACGGTGCCCTGCACTGCCTCCACCTCCCCTTGCTCCCGGACCCTCTCGCACCGTGGCGCGGATCACGACGGGAGGTCTCTCACCTTTCACAGCCTCTCGGGACCCTTACCGGGCCTCGGTCGGGCGTTGGCAGATCTGGGTTTAGTGGAACCTGGTTTAGTGATTTGTACCGGGGGCGCCCCCCCGTCCCATTTCCAGTAACCGGAACTGCCGTCACCCGAAAAACACCAGTTACAGCAAACCTGGTTTAGTGAATCTGGCCAATTGAGGGGCCCCAGGGCCCTACCACTAACCGGGTCCCCTTACCCGGGGTCGTGGCTATACCCGATTCGGGACCGCCCAAGAACGACCCAGGGTGAAAATCTAGCCCGGAAAGGGTCCAGAAACGTGGGAGGCCGACGCCATGAAAAAATCACGATGGTCGGGGGTCCGGGTCTCGGCTCTGCGCAGCGGGCGACCCCGGGCACGAGTGACCCGCGACCCTTCGCGCGCAGCTTCCGGGAGGAGCGATGGGGCCAAATCCGAGCGCGCACACCAGTGCTGGGGCGGTGGCTACCTACCAGACCACCCCACCCCAGCCCGAAGGCACGACTTTGACGCGACTCTCGGGTTGAGGGGGGGGGTACGGGTTCCGTGCGCTTGCTCCACGTTCCCCGACGCCCCCCCACTGGAGATGGAGGGGAAGTTGAGGCCTTCGGGTTGGGTTGGGGTCGCCCCCTAAGAGGGGGACCACGAACCGAAAAGTCTAGCCTTTCGCCCCACGAAGCTCCCAGGAGGCCCGAAGAGCCCCCGAGGACGTCCCAAGAGGCCCCCAAGAGGTTCCCCAAGAGGCCTCCAACAGGGCTCCCGAAGGGCCGCCACAGGACCCCCAGGAAGGCCCAGAGACGCCAAATAGAGAGCGATCGGTGACGCAAAAGGCTCTTCACGCCAAGGCTCCCGCCTGGTGGGTGGTGAGGCGGGGGCCTGCCGGCACGCAGCCACGGCCGCTCCCCATGGGGCCTCCGACGCCGCGCCGCCCGCACGGCGCGGCGCCTCGGAGGTCTGGGCCCGTTCCCCCGTGGACGGCCGGGCGAGTGCGCGCTCGCACGCGTGTGTGTGCGGGTTCGCGTGCTCTCGTGCGTGCGGGTTTAGGTTCGGGTGTGGGTGCAGGTGTGCGTGTGTGTAGGCGCGGGCGCGCCGTGGGCGTGGGCGTGGGCGTGGGCGTGGGCGTGGGTGTGGGTGGCGTTTTCGCTCTGGGTCGTCGTGTGACGCTCCCGGGGGCCCGCTGGAAACTTCCGGAAGCCGAGACTTGCAAAAGGCCTCCCCTCGTGATGAAGAGCTCCCATGGCGCGCGTGAACGCGCGCACCAGACCACGCGGGCGTGCTCGGTACCCACAGGCTTCGGCGAGAGCGTCCTTGTCCGAGTTCCGCATCGGCCCACCGTCGTCGTCCTCATCGTCGCTCTCCTGCATGTGCCTGTGCAGCGGCGAATGCATGAGCAAAGAGGAGGAGGCGACGGCATTCTTTCGCAAGCTGTGACGCAATGGCGCTCCTCCTCGTCCTCGTCCTCCTCCACCTCAGCCTCCACCTCCCTCTCCTGGGCGAGCTCCTTGCTCCCCGCCGCGGTGACCTCTCGAAGCTCAGGGCTCTGCAACTGTAACGAATGTGAAACATTCAAGCACGCACTCTGCGCGAACACCTACTACCGAAAATACAGGCACAGCCCAACCAAATGTACCACATCGTTTGCCCCGCTGCAACATCCACACGCTCCGATACTGCATCTTGGGCCAGTCCGCCTGGCCTGCAAGCTCACGCTCGTGCCGTTCGTGCCAAAAGATAAACGACCAAAAGATCTGAAAGCAGATCCGCAACCCCAACCAAACGGGGTGAAGGCCGATGCTGCACTATGCGGCGCTGTACCCCCCACGCAGAAGCAGCGACCGACCCAAAAGCACTAACTGCAAGCGGGACGTCAGCAACGGGCAGCCGCAGTGCATCACCAGTTGGGGCAGCAACTGCGCGCAACATCCAGCCATCGTCAAGTAGCGAATGGAGGAAACGGACAAGGAGTAACCAGGAGCGATGAGAGAAGACAGGAATCAATGCAGAAACTATACTATTCGTGGAGCCATGCACTCGCGCGCGCGCAGACCAGTCGAGTTGGAGGCCTACGCCACAAAAGAGCAGAGAGAAGCGAGAGAGGGGGGAAGAGAGAGAGAGGGAGAAAACAACAACAAAAAACAAAAAAACAAAAAACGACAATGAACCCGGCACGATCCACTGTAGGGGAACTCTTCCGAAGCGGCATGTCTTGTCATTGCTTGGCAGTGCTTGGCATGGCTTGGCGTGGCTTGGCATTGCTTGGCATTGCTCGGCGTTGCTTGGCATTGCTCGGCATTGCTTGGGGTTGCTTGGAATTGCTTGGCGTTGCTTGCTTTGCATTGCTTTGCTTGGCTTTGCTTGGCATTGTGTAGCTTTGATTGGCATTTCTTGGGGTTGCTCGGCAGTGCCTGGCGTTGCTTAAATCGCTTGGCGTTGCTTGTCAGTGCTTGACGGTGCTTGGCGACGCTTGACGTTGATTAGCATTGGTTGGCGTTGCCTGGCAATATTTGGCAATGCTAAGAGAAAAAAACAAAGCAACCCGAGGACCGTAGTAAGGAAACAACACCTAGCAACCCGAGGAAGGTATCTTCAAAAACAATCAGAAACCTAGATCAAGTCCGCCGGCCCCCTTCTGGGGCCACCAGGCTGTAGGACTAGCTTGCTGCTCTCTGCACCAGTTGCAGTTTCAAGTCTCCAAGGTGGCCCAAGACGTCCCAAGAGGCCTCCAAGAGGGCCTCCAGGAAGGCCAGAAAAGGCCCAAATCATTAATTACCCATGAGTTTTTGAAGGATTGTGGCATTTGCTTTGTTTCGGTCTTCCGACGGCCCGAGACGGCCCAAATGCCCAAGGATCGCCCAAGAGGCCCAAGACGGCCCCAAGAGGCCCCCAAGACGGCCCAAGAGCCCTCCAAGACGTCCTCCAAGAAGGCCCGAAAGGTCCGGGCGGCCAAGATGACCTTCAAGATGCCCACGTGTTGCCCGAAGGCTTTCCAAACCGATTCGGGGAACACATGGTCCGATAGCTTGGCAGGTCTGGCCTCAACGTTCGGCCACATAGGCGCTTCCACGAAGGCAGGGGGCGGCGGTGATTCGCCGTAGGCGTCTTCGATCCGCCGCCCCCTGTTGCTTGCAAGAGGGATGCCTGGCGTACCAAATCCTATTTTTGGTTTGGTTCTTTTCCAACAGAACTCCCCCTGGGCCTCCAGCGCGTCCCGCCGGCCACCCGGAAAGATTGCCAAGGACCTCAATCCGGAAAAAAATCCTCCAAGATGGTCCAAGATGGCCTCCAAGATGGCCACGTTGGCCCAAGATGGCCTCCAAGATGGTCCAAGATGGCCTCCAAGTCCGCCCAAGATGGTCCTTGACGGCCTCCAAGACGGCCCAAGAGAGTCCAAGATACCTCCAAGGTCGCCCGAGAAGCCTTCAAGACGGCCCAACACGACCCAAGAAGCCTCCAAGAGGCCCTCCAGAAGGGTCCGAAGAGGCCAAAATCATTGATGGTCCTGGCGTTTTTGAAGGAGTGTGGCATTTGCTTCTTCTCGGCATTCCGACGGCTCAAGACGGCCCAAGGGGCCCACAAGATCGCCCAAGAGGCCTCCAAGAGGGCCCTCTGACGGCCCGAAAGGCCTCCAAGACGGCCCCAAGAGGGCCCCAAGACGGCCAAGATGGCCTCCAACACGCCCAAGACCCAAGAGTGCCCCAAGTCGGTTCAGAGAGGCCCCCAAGACGGCTTCCGACGGCGTCAGACGGGCCAGGAGCCCAGCAAGATGGCCGAAGTTGGCTCGAAGCTGGCCCAAGACGACCCAAGAGGCCTCCAAGAGGGCCTCCAGGAAGGCCAGAAAAGGCCAAACTCATTGATTTCCTTTTTGGTTTTTGAAGGATTGTGGCATTTGCTTTGTTTCGACCTTCCGACGGCCCGAGACGGCCCAAGAGACCCCAAAGATCGCCCAAAGATCGCCCAAGATGCCTCCAAGATGGCCCCAGAACTGCCCACGAGGCCCCCAAGACGGCCCCAAGAGGCCCCCAAGACGGCCGAGGAGGCTTTTAGGACGCCCAAGATGGCCTCCAAGACGGCCCTAGAGCATTCCAAGAGGGCCCCAAGTGGGCCTAGAGAAGATCCCCAAATGGCTTCCGACGGCGTCGGACGGGCCAGGGGCCCACCAAGACGGCCGAAGATGACCATCCAGGAAGGCCCGACAAGGCAAAATTCATTGATTTCCCATGAGTTTTTGAAGGATTGTGGCATTTGTTTTTTTTTTCGGCCTTCCGACGGCCCGAGACGGCCCAAGTGCCCCCAAAGATCGCCCAAGAGGCCCAAGACGGCCCCAACAGGCCCCCAAGACGGCCCAAGAGCCCTCCAAGACGCTCAAGATGGCCTCCAAGACGGCCCAAGAGCCCTCCAAGACGTCCTCCAAGAAGGCCCGAAAGGGTCAAAATGGCCTCCAGGCGGCCAAGATGACCTTCAAGATGCCCACGTGTTGCCCGAAGGCTTTCTAAACCGATTCGGGGAACACATGGTCCGATAGCTTGGCAGGTCTGGCCTCAACGTTCGGCCACATAGGCGCTTCCACGAAGGCAGGGGGCGGCGGTGATTCGCCGTAGGCGTCTTCGATCCGCCGCCCCCTGTTGCCTGCAAGAGGGGTGCCTGGCGTACCAAATCCTAGTTTTGGTTTTGGTTCTTTCCAACAGAACTCCCCCTGGGGCTCCAGCGCGTCCCGCCGGCTACCCAGAAAGATCCTCAATCCGGAAAGAATCTTCCAAGACAGCTCAAGATGGCCTCCAAGATGGCCACGTTGGCCCAAGATGACCTCTAAGACGGTCCAAGATGGCCTGCAAGTCCGCCCAAGATGGTCCAAGACGGCCTCATGACGGCCCAAGAGAGTCCAAGATATCTCCAAGTTCGGCCAAGAAGCCTCCAAGACGGCCCAATACAACCCAAGAAGCCTCCGAGGTCCTCCAGGAGGGTCCGAAGAGGCCAAAATCATTGATTTTCTCCTGACGTGTTTCAAGGATGTTGGCATTTCCTTCTTCTCGGCATTCCGACGGATCAAGAGAGCCCAAGAGGCCCCCAAGATCGCCCCAAGATCGCCCAAGAGGCCTCCAAGCGGGCCCCTTCATGGCACAAGGACCCCCAAGACGGCCCCAAGAGGGCCCCAAGAGGCCTCCAAGACGACCACGATAGCCTCCGAGATGTCTAAGATGAACCGAAGATGCCTCCAAGACAGCCCAAGATGCATCCAAGACGGCCTAAGCTGGTATCAAACTTGCCCAGGACGGCCCAAGAGGCCCCCAAGAAGCCTCCAAGAGGTCCTCCCTGAGGGCCCGAAGAGACCATTTTTTGACGGGAGGAGACGGAGCGGACATCACCAAGACACAAAACCACTGTAAAGCATGCTTGAGTGCATCACCAACGCAGGCAAGATATGAAACCCGACCTGGCAAAGACTGGCATCGCCATGCAGCTGTGTGCAAAGCCGTAGTGAAAAGGAGGAGCAGTTCAAAATCCCAGCTTCATCGTTGGCGCAGGTGCCTGTCGAGAAGTACGGGAGGAAGAAACGGAGCAGCAGCAGCAGGAGCAAGACGGCCCAGGGAGACTCCCAAGATGGCATCCGACGGCATCAGACGGACCAGGAACGCCGCAAGACTGCCAAGGAGGCCCCCATGAAGCCCCCGAAAGCCCCCAAGAGGCCTCCAAGAGGCGCCCAGGAACCTCCACGGAGACCCCTAGAGTGTCCAAGAAGGCTCCCAAGAGGTCTCCCCATCCTTCTCCTCATCCTCCTTTCTCCTCCCTCTCCTCATCATCCTCTTCCTTCCCCACGTGTTTTCCGAGGGGCTTCAACAATGGCTGGGAGAACGCATGATCCAATAGCGTGGCCAAAAGTTGCCCAAACTGTGGCTACATATCTAAAAAGAGGGCGGGGGTGATTCGCCGCAGGCGTCTTCAATAACGCCGACGTCTCACTTTGCGCTGATGATTCCTATCCGCCCCCGCATGATGTTCCCAGATGCGCCAACGCAGCACCGAGAGCGTTGGTCACGACAACGCAGCTGCTTATGCGGGCTCCCCTCAAGGTGCCCACGTTGAAGAAGACTGCAACATCGCGAAAAAAAACACCACCAAAGCGCTAGACCCCATCGCTCTGCGGCACTATTCGACCAAAGCCGGGGAAAAACGACCGGCGTGAAAAAGTGCAACGCCAGAGTCTCAGGGAGAGAAGCAACGCAGTGGGATCTTTGATTGTGTTGCATGTTTGGGGTGTTCGTCTGTCCCGTCGCGCCAGGCGTCCGTCGAATCCATGTCGAACGCGGCGAGTCCACATCGAATCCGTGTCTAATCAGTGTCGAGCCCACGTCGAGTCCACGCCGAACAAGCGTCGAACCCACATCGAAATACAAGGAGAGGCATGCAAAATAACCGTGATGGCCTTCTGGGTGAGCCTTCATGGGGGCCTCTACCTCCGCGGCCCTGTCATGAGCGTGATTTCGACCGGGTCTCGTCCAGATTTCAACCGCCCTGCACCCTTTCAATCAGAGTTCGCCCAGGCGTCGTCCGGATTTCTCCCAGATGTCGCCCCAGATCCGACGAAATCTGGACGAGCCCCCATGGAGGACCACACAAACCCTGGCGGAGGGAGCGGGAGCGGGAGAGGAAGAGAGAGAGAGCGGACAAGCAAACGGGCGTCCCGTCGACAGCCGGCTACTGCGGCAGCCAAGGCCACCATTGCACGCTTAGCGGTGGTGCCCACTTGGGGCACGGGGGACGTGGAAACAACCGCCCCTTGGCGCAAAGCGACTACGTAGAAAGGCGGGATGCTGAGCTGGCGATGCGCCACATCTCTCGGCGACCGAGACAGAGAGAGAGAGAGACAGAGAGTTCCTTCCTCCTCCCCCTCCTCCTCCTCCTCCTGCTCCTCCTCCTCCTCCTCCCCCTCCTCCTCCTCCTCCTCCTCCTGCCTCCTCTCCTCCTCTCCTCCTCCCCTCCTCCTCCCTCCTCCTCCTCCTCCTCCTCCCCCTCCTCCTCCCCTCCTCCCTCCCCTCCTCCTCCCCTCTTCCTCCCCCATCCTCCTCCTCCTCCCTTCCTCCTCCTCCACCTCCTCCTCCTCCTCCTCGTCCTCCTCCTCCTCCTCCTCCTCCTCCTCCTCCTCCTCCTCCTCCTCCTCCTCATCATCATCATCATCATCATCATCATCATCATCATCATCATCATCATCATCATCATCATCATCATCATCATCATCATCATCATCATCATCATCATCATCATCATCATCATCATCATCATCATCATCATCATCATCATCATCATCCTTCTCCTCCTCCTCCTCCGAGAGAGAGAGAGAGAGAGAGGGAGGGAGGGAGAGAGAGAGAGAGAGAGAGCGCGGGCCCCGCCTCTCGCAGACCCAGGCGCCGAAGCGGCTGCGGGCCTGCCGCCACCCCCCAACCCGCTCCCCCGCCCCGGCCAGGGAAGGACAGCAGCGGTGGTGACGCCGCACTGAGATTTGTTTTCCGACGCCAGGATACCCAAACCCCCTCGGGCCCTGAAAAAAATACGCGACCGAGGACCCCCGCATACCTATATCATGGCTGGAGTGATGATAGCTGGAGTGAAGCATGTGAGAATGATGTTGGTGGCCGTTGCCCCGCCGATACCGTTGGCGACGCCAGTCAAGAGGAGAGGTGGAGAGGAGAAGCGCCGCGCCCGCCACACCTTGCGAGCCCGAAACGGACAGCGACCGCACCCCAAGGCCCCCATGCGGCGTCGAGAAAGCACAACGCCTGCCACACCAGCAAACCCCCTTGTGGCGTCGAGGAAGCGTCACGCCTGCCACGCTCTGCGGGCCCGAAACGGATGGCGACCGCACCCCCAGCGCACTCCCTTCTGCATCGAGAAGTTGCCACGCCTGCCACGCTTTACGAGCCCGAGACGGATAGCGACCGCACCCCCTGCGCAATCCCTGTGGCGCCGAGAAAGAGCCACGCCTGCCACGCTTTGCGAGGCCGAGACGGATAACGACCGCACCCCCAGCGCACTCCCTGTGGCATCGAGAAAGTGCCACGCCTGCCACACGTTGCAAGCCCGAAACGGATAGCGACCGCACCCCCTGTGGCGTCGAAAGAGAGTCACGCCTGCCACGCTTTTGCGAGGCCGGAACGGATAGCGACCGCACCCCCAGCGCACCCTCTGCGGCATCGAGAAAGTGCCACGCCTGCCACACGCTGCGAGCCCGAAACGGATATCGACCGCACCCCCAGCGCACCCCCTGTGGCGTCCAGGCAGTGTCACGCCTGCTAGGCTTTGCGGCAGTGTCGTGGATAGCGGCCGCGCTCAGAGACCACCCACTGCGCACCCCCTATGGTGTCCAGAAGGTGCCGCGTAAGCTAGGCCTTGCGACAGTGTCGTGGATAGCGGCCGCGCTGAGAGACCACCCCTTGCGCACCCCCTATGGTGTCCAGAAAGTGCCACGCCTGTTAGGCCTTGCGACAGTGTCGTGGATAGCGGCCGCGCTGAGAGACCACCCCTTGCGCACCCCCCATGGTGTCCAGAAAGTGCCACGCCCGTCAGGCCTTGCGACAGTGTCGTGGATAGCGGCCGCGCTGAGAAACAACCCCCTGCGCACCCCCGATGGTGCCGCGCTGAGAGACCACCCCCTGCGCACCCCCTATGGTGTCCAGAAAGTACCACGCCTGCTAGGCTTTGCGGCAGTGTCGTGGATAGCGGCCGCGCTGAGAGACCCGCCCCTGCGCACCCCCTATGGTGTCCAGGAAGTGCCACGCCTGCTAGGCCTTGCGACAGTATCGTGGATAGCGGCCGCGCTGCGAGACCACCCCCTGCGCACCCCCTATGGTGTCCAGGAAGTGCCACGCCTGCTAGGCCTTGCGACAGTGTCGTGGATAGCGGCCGCGCTGAGAGACCACCCCCTGCGCACCCCCTTATGGTTATGGTGTCCAGAAAGTGCCACGCCTGCTAGGCTTTGCGACAGTGTCGTGGATAGCGGCCGCGCTGAGAGACCCGCGCCTGCACACCCCCTACGGTGACCAGAAAGTGCCACGCATGCTAGGCTTTGCTGCAGTGCCGTGGATAGCGGCCGCGCTAAGAGGCCACCTGCTGCGCACCCCCTATGGTGTCCAGAGGTGTTGTGCTGTGCTGTGCTGTACGGTGCTGAGCTGTGCTGTGCTCAGGTGCTGTGCTGTGCAGTGCTGTGCTGAGCTGTGCTGACATGAGCTGTGCTGTGCTGTGCTGTGCTGTGCTGTGCTGTGATGTGCTGAGCTGAGCTGAGCTGTGATGACCAGTGCTGTGCTGTGCTGTGCTGTGTACGTGCTGCGTGTCAGTGTGCTGTGCGCTGTGCTGTGCTGAGCTGAGGAGGAGAGGGTGTGACTGAGGGGCGCGGGTGACGCGGGTGAGAAGAAAACCAGAACCCCACGAAACGCGTGGGGGAATCACGACGTGGGGGGGGAGTTGTCGGACTCTCGGGCCCTCGCCAGGCCCCGGGACCCTCGAAAAACGTCTCGGGATGAAAAACCGGTCCTGAGGAATGGGTCGAGACCTCCAGGTCCACGTCATGGGGAAAAAAACATGACGTCGGGGGTCTGGGTATGTCCATTGACACAACCGCGAGATCGTGTCCTGCGGACTCGGGAAGCGGTGGATATGGATATCGCTTGGAGGAATACAGTGACTATCAAAGACACGCGCGTCGTCCTCGAAACTGCGCGCATCACTCGTTCGGCTCTTGTCCAGCAGACTGGCACCCTTCCAGCAGCAGCACGCTGATCAGGTGGAAGGAGGAGGAGGAGGAGGAGGAGGAGGAAGAGGAGGATAACGGGGAGGAGGAGGGGAAGGGGGGGGGGAGGGGGAGGGGGAGTCCGACAGGCATGACGCTGCTCTGACAGTGGCACCTGCCAGCGGCGCCCACACAGGGAGGTGGCGCGAGGGAGGCGACCTTCGAAGAAGAAGGCGGGGCTTCCTCCTCCTCATCCTCCTCCAAACGTGCAAGAGCTTCACGGATTGAGGGCAGTTCCTTTCCAAAATGTGGCTCTAGCCATAGCGCCGCGCACATTCGTTTAAACAAATTGCAAGAGTTCCACGGATTCCCATGATCAACGTACCAGACATGGTGTTTGGGAAGGGTTCCGGATTTTGCGGGTGCAACAATTATGTCGATTCGTGGTGGTGAAATCCAAAAAACAGTTATGGCACGGTTCCGGATCGCCAAAAGCGCAGCTGTTAGGTTGATACGTGGCGTTGAAATCCCGAGAGCAATGTTTTGGCATGCTTCAGGATCTTCAATCGGTTGTCTTCCAACGAGACAATTCCCTCAATGGGAATGAACCGTTGTAGGGGCCTATGAAGAGGGAGCTTGGAGGGAGGGTTACTTCCAACATCGTTAATGACTCTTGGGTTTACACTGGTCCTCATCCTCCTCCTCGTCCTCCTCTTCCTCCTCATCCTCCTTCTCCTCCTCAACTTCCTCCTCCTACTCCTCCTCATCCTCCCCCTCCTCCTCCCCCTCCTCCTCCTTGTCCTTCTCCTAAGAAGGCAGGGCCCTTCCTAGAGGGCTCCAGAAGTTCGTAAGACGGCTTCCTTCTCAGGAGCCCGGCGGGCTTCTGCAGACGACTCCCCTCGCGCTAACCCCTTGTGGGAGTCGCAGGTCTTCACGGCCCCGAGCCCCTGCTTAGAGTGCCGAGGCGGCGGCCCCTGCGGGCGGCAACTGCGCCCTGCAAGCTGATAGCGTGTCGATCCGCTCCGCCAGACGGGAGGCGTCGAAGAGCTCGGAAAGTTGTTGCCTGGGGACTCGTGTTGACGAACGGACAACACGCACCCATACCCATAGGGGGGTCGTTGGGAGGAGGACTGGCTATGGGTATGGGTGCGGGTTGTCGGACCCTGGGGAACGCTCCCGTTCGAGCGGGGACCCCATCCGACAACACGCACCCATAGCCCTCTCCGATCCCCCGATGGGTATGGGTGTGTGTTGCTGGTTCGTCACGTGTCGCGCCGAAGCGTTGTGGGCCAGAACCGGCGGCGCGACACGCTAAGCAAGCGATCCTTACAGCCCGAAGCGCCGTCGACGATCGAGGCAGCCACCATGCCCATTGGAGCCGCGAGGGCTCCGGCCTGGGAGACATCTCCAACGAGAGCGAAAGCAGCTACCCCTCTGCACCACCAGGGTATCACCATATCCACTGCCGCGGGGTCGCGTCCGAGGGAGATTCCCGGAACGGTGGATTGCGGTCAAAAAATGTTGCACAGCGTGTCGCCCCGGCGGCGCTGGCCACACGCCATGCCTTGCACGCGGATAGCATGTCGCTTAACTCCGCGGGCCGGGAGGACCAGAACTTGAGGGATGAAAAAACGGCCCTACCTTGGGTTACAAGTGCGTGGTCTGGAAACCTCCTGGGAACCCCAAAGCCTCGAGCCGCCAGGGCGCGGCACATTACGCAGGGTTTACCCTGTCAGCCCACAGGAGTTTCAGCGCACAGCGCCTCGTAAACCATGGTAGGGGCGTTTTTCTATACCCTTGAAGAACGGCTCGGAACATTGACGCCAGAGGGCTGAGCTCTGGATAGCCTGTCGTGCTGCGGCGTGGCGGGCCAGAGCTGGCAGACCGGCGCGCTGAGCCACAGCTCCTGACCATGTGGCGGGATCGGGACACCGCGAACCCAAAAATGTTGCCATTGGGGGCGAACGTTCTACTCTCTTTTTTCGACGCACTACCTCCCATGGGTCAGCTCGGCACTGGAGGTCTAGTGGTGGGCTCAATTAAGATCACCGTGCGAAACGGCGCAACTAATCGTGCTGTACGATAAGCTGAAGCCCGCGTGGGAGGCGCTGTACGCTAAGGGTGGCTTCCGCCAGCATGCCGCCGGCTTCCGCCGGCGGAGGCCCCTCGCTGTACTTCCGCCGCCTTCCGCCGACCTTCCGCCGCTTTCTGCCGAGGAAACGGTGGCAACCCCCTCGATCCTCGACAGCGAGGCCCCTTCCGGAACCCGCCATGTGGATATCTGCCCACACACGCGGGCGGGCAGACATCCGCATCCACGACTCCTCGAGAGCCCGGGGCACGGCGCCGAGACGGTGGACGTGGACATATTCTGGCGGTGGCCCCTTCTCAGCTCACCGGACTCACACCTGATGCCCGTCTCCAGAGAGCAAGGACTGTCCTACTCTACGGTGGGGGCGTTGGTTTAGGAATGTGCCCAGGAGGCTTCACCACCAGCTTCCAGACCGCGGACTCCTGATCTAGAGGTTCCTGGTCCAATGTCCCTCGAGGAGGAGGAGGAGGAGGAGGAGGAGGAGGAGGAGGAGGAGGAGGAGGAGAAGGCGGGGGACGAGGAGGGGGAGGAGGAGGAGGAGGAGGAGGAGGAGGAGGAGGAGGAGGAGGAGGAGGAGGAGGAGGAGGAGGAGGGAGGAGGAGGAGGGGAGGAGGAGGAGGAGGAGGAGGAGGAGGAGGGGGAGGAGGAGGAGGAGGAGAGGAGAGGAGGAGGAGGACTCAGGAGGAGGAGGACGAGGAGGAGGAGGAGGGAGGAGGCGGAGGAGGAGGAGGAGGAGGGAGGAGGGAGGAGGGAGGAAGGAGGGGAGCTCCAAGGGCGGCCAGCTCCCTTCGCCCCTCCCTTGTTGCCTCTTCCCCCCATCGCCCCTTGCTGTTCTTAGGTCGAAAGGTTCCTTGTCCACAGCCTCACCGTAGGCAGCCCCTCTTCGCGCATGGGGCCCCGCGACGCGCGACGCGCGGCCCCTCCTCGCGCACACTCGCGCCCTCGCGCCGTCCCCCCCCCCTCAGGAAAGGGGGCGGCGCTGCCCTGGCCCAGACCGCGACGCTGCACAGCACAGGGTCCTTCTCGCCCCATGGAGGGGGGCGTGGCCGTGCCGTGCTGGACCAAGGATCGAAGAACGCCCTCCGAGAACATGAGGCCCTCCGCTGTGGCCAAAACACACAGGACGTCCAAGGGTACCGTACGTCGACGAAATGTTGCACCACTTTTGCCGCGCATTGTGAGCTATATTGCATTCCTCCTCACCCCCCTCCCCCTGATCTGAATATTGGGCACATGGCAAAGGTCCCGTGGCGCCCTCCCCAGGGCTCGCGACAGAATGTTGCACCACCGAGCCGTTTCGATGAACCCGGGACCGCAGCCAATGTTAAGATTGGGGGAGGAGGGGGGGTGGAAGCGAACATCCATTGCAGAATCGGCTTGCTTGCTTTCTTCACAACACCGGGTGGTGCAACATCTTGTCGATGTACCGTACCCTCCCCGGGATGCGCAGGAACACCAAGCAGGCACGCAGGGCAGCAGGGCGCCCTCCCCGAACCGGCGCCGATCTCGTGCCCCGGTCCGACCGGGCGGCACGGGCACGCCGCGGCAGGGCAAGCGGGCGGCAGATGCCTCGCACTCTGGAACGCGGGCACGGCGCGCGCCACGGCGCGGGCTCTGCAACGGCACGGCACTTGGGCGGCACATCCCTCAGATTTTAAAACTTCTCCTCCTCCTCCTCCTCCTCCTCCTCCTCCTCCTCCTCCTCCTCCTCCTCCTCCTCCTCCTCCTCCTCATCTCATCCTCGACTCTTTTTCCTTGTAAATAACTTCTCCGTGTCGCACCCCGAAGCCAATTTTTAGGGCGGATCGGTCGTCCGCCTGAGACTTCCTCACCATTTATGACCCTGAAGCTCAGAATTGGCGACAGCTTCACAGATGGAGGACGGGTGGTTTTCAAAATGTGCCCCTCGCCCCAGCGCTGCGCACATTCGTTCTGAACATTTGCAAGAGTTTCACGGATCGAAGATAACCCGCCTTCAAAATGTGGCTCTCGCCTTAGCGCCACGCGCATTCGTTTCAAACAGTTGCAAGTGTTTTACGGATTGACGAAGGTTCCATTTCAAAATGTGGCTCTCGCCTTACCGCTGCGCACATTCGTTTTAAGAGTTTGCATGGGTTTCACCGATTGGGAGCAACCTTTGCAAAATGTGGCTCTCGCCTTAGCGCCGCGCACATTCGCTTTACAAAATTGCAAGAGTTTCACACATTCCCACGATCAGCGTACCCGACACGGCGTTTTGGACAGATTCTTACTGCTGCAACAGTTACGTTGACTCGCGGTGTTGAACTCCCAAGAATGGCGTTCTGGCGGGATCCTGGATCCTCAAGACGCAAAGGCGGTTGATCCGAGGCGTTGGGATCCCGAGGAAAGTGTTTGGGCATGCTTCCGGGTGTTTAAACGATTGTCTTCCAACGAGGCAGATCCCTCAATGGAAGTGAACCGTTGTATGGGACCTATGGAGAGAGAGCTTGGAGGGAGGGTGTACTCCAACATCGTTGGTGGCTCTTGGGTTTACACTGGCCCTCCTCCTCCTCCTCCTCCTCCTCCTCCTCCTCCTCCTCCTCCTCCTCCTCCTCCTCCTCCTCCTCCTCCTCCTCCTCGCCTCTAGAACTCCCGAGAGCAGGCACGGCGCGCGCCACGGCATGGGCACGGCACGCGGGCGCCTCTGCACGGCAGGGCACGGCGTGGGCGGCACGCGATTGGCATCCTGGGAGGCGGGCACGGCACGCGCACGGCACGGGCGCGGCACGGCATGGCACGCGGGCGGCATACGATTCGGGTTCCAGGACTCCAGAGGTGGTTCTTGTAATGCAGATGGGGCCCGTCATCACACGCTGAGCGGGGAAAGACGAAAACGCACTCCAGGGGCATCTTGCAGGCTCCTGGTTATGTTGGCATACTCTTACGTTCGCCGCTCCTCCTCCACCTCCTCCTCCTCCTCCTCCTCCTCCTCCTCCTCCTCCTCCTCCTCTTCATCCGTATCCTCCTCCTTTCCCTCCTCCTCTCCCTCCTCCTCTTCCTCCTCCTCCACGTCCTCCACATCCTCCTCCTCCTCCTCCTCCTCCTCCTCCTCCTGTTTCTCCTCTTCCTGTATATCCTCCTCCTGTTTCTCCCCCTCCTCCTCCTCTCCTCCTCCTCCTCTCCTCCTCTTCCTCCTCCCTCCTCCTCCTCCTCCGCCTCCTCCTCCTCCTCCTCCTCCTCGATTCCTTCTCCTCATACATGACTTCTCCCTCTCTCGCCGAGGCCAGCTTTTAGGGCGAGCCGGGCGTCTGACCTGAGACTTCCTCACCATGTATGACCCTGAAGCTTAAAACTTGGCAACCGCTTCACAGATGGAGGGCGGGTGGCTTTCAGCATGTGGCTGTCGCCTTAGCGCAGCGCAGATGCGTGTTAAAAATTCGAGAGCCTCATGGGTTGAGGGCGGGTGGTTTTCAAAATGTGGCTCCCACCTTAGCGCCGCACATCCGCTCTCAAACGCTGCAAGAGTTTCATGGGTTGAGGGCGAGTTGTTTTCAATAAGTGGTTCTCGCCTTAACGCCGCACACATTCGTGCTGAAAAATGTAAGGGCTTCACGGGATGAGGGCGGGTGGTTTTCAAGATGCGGCTCTCGCCTTAACGCTGCGCACATCTGTGTTAAGACTTCGCCAGCGTTTCACGAATTGAGGGCGGCTCCTTTTCAACATGTGGCTCTCGCCTTAGCGCCGCGCACGTTCGCTTTAAACCGTTCCAATAGCTTCATGGGTTGAGGGCGGTTCCTGTTCAAAATGTGGCTCTCGCCTTAGCGCCGCACACGTTCTTGTTAAACATTTGTAAGCGTTTCACAGATTGAAGGAGGTTCCGTTTCAAAATGAGGCTCTCGCCTTAGCGCCGCGCACGTGCTTGCTTCCAAGTGCAAGAATTTCACGGATTCCCATGGCCGACGTACCAGAAAGTGTGTTTTGGAAGAAGTCGCGAATGGGGGCGCAACAAGTACGATGATTCGCGGTGTTGAAATGCCAAGAATGGCGTTCTGGCACGAACCAAGATCGTCCGGACGCAACAGTCAGGCTGATCCGTGGCGTTGGAATACCGAGGATAATGTTTTGGCATGATTCAATGTCTTCGAACGGTTGTCTTCGAACAAGACAGGTCCCTCTGTGGAAATGAACCGTTGTAGGGGCCTATGAAGAGGGAGCTTGGGGGGAGGGCTTATTTTAACATCGTTGGTGACTCTTAGGTTTTCGCTGGTCCTCCTTCTCCTCCTCCTGCTCCTCCTCCTCCCCCTCCTCCTCCACGTCATCTTATTCCTCCTCCTCCGCCTCCCCCTCATCTTCCGCTTCCTCGTCATGATGACCCCCACCACCATCGTCATCATCGTCATCATCATCAACCTCATCATCATCATCATCATCATCATCATCATCATCAGCAGCAGCAGCAGCATCATCATCATCATCAGCAGCATCATCATCATCAGCAGCATCAGCATCATCATCATCAGCATCATCAACATCACCATCCACATCATATCACCACCAGCAGCAGTATCAGCATCAGCAGCAGCATCATCATCACAATCGTCAGCATCACCATCACCATATATCATCCTCATCAGCATCATCCGCCGCATCATCATCATCATGATCATCTGCATCAACATCGGCATCATCATCATCATCATCATCATCATCATCATCATCATCATCATCATCATCATCAGCATCAGCAGCATCGTCAGCATCATCAGCATCAGCATCAGCATCATCATCATCATCAGCAGCATCACCATCGTCATAGCCATGACCCTAACCATGCCAAACACATCGTGCCAGTGGCTTCCTGCCGCCTCGGCAAGCCCCTCCTTGATGGCACCGCGCAGCTCCTGGACCCGCTTCCTCAGGGACTCCTGCGCAAGGGGGATGTGCGGGCGAGGGCGAGGGCGAGGAACAGGTCCAAGTAGGGGAACCAACTAATGCGGGATGACGATTCATAAAAAAGGGGAGAGAACGATTAAACAAATAGTTTTCTGCTATTTCTGCTTAACTTTCTGACTGGAGGAGAACGATATTAAAAAAAGAAGAAACAAATAAGAAAAAAAAAAAAAGTGTTCCAGCCCGCGGCCAGTTTTTTCTAATCGTCATCCCGGGCGCCGCCGCGTGAACACGACCCCCAGTCATTTATCAATCGTCATCCTCCATGATGCGCAGATCCGCAGGATCGGGACCCTCGAGGATCGGCGCGGGGGGGCCGGGGCCCCAGAAGCGAGGTGAAGCACTGCACACGGCTCACGCCCAAAATGCCATATTCCTGAAGGTTGGCCTGCCGCTCACTGGTAGACGCAGTGCTGTTTGTCGCCAGCGGTACGTTTGGGAACTAAGAACGGCATAAACATAAGAACTCTCAGGCCCGCGCGGAATTTCCCGGAGATCGGCGCTAAACCTCCCTCCCTGGCGCGCGGAGCGCGCCAGGGGCGGCGCCGGAGGCGCCGCCAGGGGGTCCCGGCGCCGATCCGCGGAATCCGCGCGGATCTCCGAGTTGGCATGTTCATGTCACTGCTTGCTCCCCTATGCGCCGGCGAAGGCGAGGGCGAGGACCAGTTCCAAGGAGGACGAGGAGGACGAGGAGGTCGAGGAGGACAAGCACGAGGAGGACGTAGAGGGCGCGAACGAGGGCGAGGGGGACGAGGAGGACGAGGACGAGGAGGACGAGGAGGACCAGGACTAGCAGAAGCATAGTTTCATGGTACAGACCGCCCTGGCAATGCCAAGAGACGATAAGCCCAGACACCGGGGAGGCACAACAGGCACGAGATAGGGCTAGGCGCCTTCCGACTCGCTGCCCCGCCGACCACACCAGGCACAGCCATTGTTCACACCAGGGGGGCACCCCGGGCTGATCGCCAACGGGGGCTGCACAACTGGCATAGTTCACCTGCAACGGTTTTCAGCCCGTTGCTCAAAGAGCTGCAGGGCCAGTCAGGGGGGAATGGCCGACGGGCGCGCGCAAGCGGGGGCCCACAGGGAGCACGACGCTTCCAAGCTGGGGATCGCCGCCCGGGAGTTAGACCCGAAGGTCCCGTGGGGCTCACGTGCCACAGGGGTCTGCATGCAGCTGTGGCCGCTGCAGTGGGCCACGGTTCACACCGCACTGCTTGCAGCAGGGGAGCCGCACTCGTCCCTGTCCGCTTGAAGAGATGGCCGCCTCCCTGCGCCTGCAAACCGTACCCCACGCTCTTGCCAGTACGTCCCAAAGCAAATGTGGCACTGACACCATGAAAAATTGGTACCAGGCCCCCGCCCAGGGCTGAGGACGAGGACGAGGAGGAAGAGGAGGGCGAGGAATACGAGGAGGACAGGGAGGGCGAGGACGAGGACGAGGACGAGGAGGACGAGGAGGGCGAGGAGGGCAACGAGGTTGAAGCGTCTGGGGGTGGCGAGTCTCCGATGGAGGCACCCCGGCGCTGCGGCGCTGCGGCACCGCGGCGCGCGAGAGCGAAGAGGGGGGGCGAGGGCGAGGAGGACGAGGGGCACGAGGAGCACGAGAACGAGCAGGACAAGGAGGGCGAGAACGAGGAGGGCCAGGAGCACAAGGAGGACGAGGGCGAGGAGGGCGAGGAGGACGAGGACGAGCAGGACAAGGAGGGCGAGAACGAGGCGGGCGAGGAGCACAAGGAGGACGAGGGCGCGGAGGACGAGGAGCACGACGACGACGAGGACAAGGAGGGCGAGAACGAGGCGGGCGAGGAGCACAAGGAGGACGAGGGCGCGGAGGACGAGGAGCACGACGACGACGAGGACAAGGAGGGCAAGAACGAGGAGGGCGAGGAGGACGAGGAGGACGAGGGCGAGGAGGGCGAGGGCGAGGACGAGGAGGGCGAGGAGGGCGTTGAGGGCGAGGGCGAGGAGGGCGAGGAGGACGAGGAAGAGGCGAAAGGCAAATCAGGAGCTCCGGTGGCCGCAGAGGGGGAGCCTCCCTCCGCGCCGGCGCGGGCGCGGGCCGCGCCAGAGGCACACGCGGAGGGGGGGGGGAGAAGGGGCGGCCGCGGAGGGGGCAGGGGAAGAGGCCCGCTTCAGAGCCTGGAGCTCCTCGTCGGCGTGGAGCTGGCAGGCAAGCGCAAGCGCAGTACTCCTCCTCCTCCTCCTCCTCCTCCTCCTCCTCCTCCTCCTCCTCCTCCTCCTCCTCCCTCCTCCTCCTCCTCCTCTCCTCCTCCTCCTCCTCCTCCTCCTCCTCCTCCTCCTCCTCCTCCTCCTCCTCCTCCTCCTCCTCCTCCTCCTCTCCTCCTCCCTCCTCCTCCTCCTCCTCCTCCTCCTCCTCCGCCTCCTCCCCCTCGCGTGCCGTGCCGTGCCACCCCTCGAGGCCCCGACCACGGAGAGGCACACAGCGAAGGCGCGTGTGAACTTCAAACACGGGGAGCGTTCTCGCGTCGCGTCGACGCGGGGAAGGGGTGGCTGTCAGGTGTCGTGACAACCCTGGCGTTGGTTCCTGGCACCGCGTGGATCGTTCAACCTTGAAGGACCGACGGCTTCTCGATCGCCAGATCGTGCCATGCTGGACGGTTCTGGGCCACTGGCGGCGCTCGACCGTGAACGCACCGGACGGGGTCTCCGCCGCGTGGACACGCCTTCAGATCCGACGGTGCGAACAACACAACATCGCGAAAAAGCAAGATCGCGAGGAAGGGATCTGTCCACACCCACCGCCTGGGAACCGACGTGCTGGTGCCCCCCAGCGGGCGGCGGATGTGGATGCATCCTGGCCCCCTGGGGCCCGAACATAGCCATACGTCCACTGCCTGCCGAGGTTCTCTAAAACAGATCCTCCAGTCGGTGGTCATGTACAAACTCCCCCCTTCGTGACCGCCCCAGGGCCCGAGCCCGGGCGAGAACACGCCCCGTGCCAAGAAGATTGCAGCGCCCGGCTCTCAGAGGGGTCGCGGGGCCGCGTGTACGACGACGCGATCCTGCCGCACGGCAGCTGACGACGTGAGAGGCGAAACCAGTCGGAGGCTGGGCGAGGGCTGGCAAATCCGTGGCTGCTCAAACGGTTTCCCCAAAAGCATAAAGCAAATTCCCGGAAGAAACTTCAGCGCACAAAATCGTAAACGCGCTGCTTCCCGGAAGAAAAACAAACAATTTCCCGGAGCTCGGTTTTGAGTAGCAGCCACGCGTTTGCCAGCCTTCGCCCGGCCCCAAGAAGGTACCAGTACCGCTGCTCCCTGGACCTCTCCAGGAGCGCACGCTGACAGCAGTTTCGACGCGAATCCAGCCGTGGCGTCGAGGGCCTCCCGGGAAGCCCAACACGACGAAAGCGAGGCAAGGGCAGCGGTGTCGGTACCTGCTCCTCCTCTGACCTCCGAAGGCCCGCTGCGAAGCGGAGCGACGGGGAAGCCTGACAGCCAGCAGCGCGCCAACCAACGAGCGAGAAAGGCCCGCCATGGTCAGAGGAACAAGACACCCCATACACCTGTAGGGAAACGAACTCTATACACCGACGCTTTTTCCGACCCTGCGCTGAAATTCGCACAAGAACGCGGATCCTGGTGTATACGGAATTCCTGGTGTATACATTGTTTGTTGTTTCCCTTGGAAAACGGGGGAGAACTATTCACCACACCACCCCGACGCCGTCCCCGACCCTCAAAACAGTCCGGGGATTGAAACATATCCCGCCACTGGTAATGTATATGTTCCAGTTTCCGAACATACTAAACTTGTGGAATTCAACGCATACTTTGAGTATGCCCGGGGGGCCAGGTCTAGAGGGTCGGGGCGCAGGGCGCTCGGGAGGCGTGCCACTTTCTTTTTCAATCTGCAGTGGCTGTTTGGGATAACGGAAAGAGCGAGGTACGAGTGATGACGTTCTGGTGTGGGCGAAGCCCTAAAGGGAGGGGTTCCAGGGGAGGGGGGTAGCGTGCCCATTTGGGTGTTAATGGCCGTTTTCGGGTTTTCCCTTGGGTTTTTGCATGTTTTTCGGGTTCCCCCCCAAGACGGCCCAAGAGCGCTCCAAGAGAGCCAAAGGCCGCCCAAGACGGCCCAAGAGGCCCCCAAGAGGCCCCCAAGAGGCGTCCCAAGAGGGCCCCAAGAGGCCGAAATCATCGATTTTCCACCGGGAAACGTATATCATTAGCATATGCGCTTTTTCGTCTCTCACGGCGTTGACGACGGCCCAGGAGGCCCCCAAGACCGCCCCAAGACGGCCCAAGAGGCTCCCAAGAGGCCCCCAAAACGGCCCAAGAGGGCCCCCAGACGGCCCAAGAGGCGCCCAAGACAGCCCAAGAGGGCCCCAAGACGGCCCCAAGAGGGGGACCACGAACCCGAAAGTCTAGCCTTTCGCCCCAAGGCGCTCCCAGGAGGCCCCCACAGACCCCCAAGAAGCCCCAAGAGGCCCCCAAGAGGCCACCAGGAGAGCGCGAAAAGGGCCCCAATAGGACTCCCAGGAAGGCCCAGAGATGCCAAGAGCGATCGGTAATGCAAAAAGCTCTTCACACCAAGTCTCCCAAGAGCGAACGGTGACGTAAACAAGCTGACAAGACCAAGGCTCCCAGCAGAGAGCGGTGACGTAACAAGTTCCTGACACCAAGGCCCAGCCACGGCTCAGGAACGGGCGGCAACGCAACAATCTCTGAAGCCCAAGGCTCCCAAGAACGAGGGGTGACGCAACCAGCTCTCAACGCCAAGGCTCCCGGTACGAACCGTGGTGTGAACCATGTCGGTTTCTGCTGCTGCGGCGCTCTTTCCGCTTCTGTGCCGGGCCGGGTCAACTGGCCGCCGTGGGCGACGCGACGCGCCGACGCCCCAAAAGTCGCACCGACGACCAGAAAGGAGAGCTGTCGGGCTCCCGCGCGCAGCTCCCATAGAGAGGCAGGGGGCCTGGCCCGGGGACATACTCCAGATTTCGTAACAAAGGGAGGGGGGTCTCATTTCGGGGGGGGGTCTCTTCCAGGCCATCTTGGAGGGCCTGGGGGGGTCTGGGGACGATGTTTTGGAGGGTTCTCCCACGGGGGGGGGTCTGGAATGGCTGGTCTTGGAGGGCCCAGGCCCCCTCCCTTTTATTACGAGATCTGGAGTACTCCACGCACCTTCCTGGGACCCGCACTGGACCCCCCCCCCCCCCGTCGCTGGCGCGCGGGGGCGCGCCGAGGGGCGGCTCCCGAGGCCGCCGCCGCGCGGAGCGCCCGCGCCGCGCCGAGAGAGCCGCGCGGAGCTCCGAGAGGTCCAGGGCTTGCCGCGGTTTCGTCTTCGAAGTGATCCCACAATGAGGAGGAGGAGGAGGAGGAGGAGGAGGAGGAGGAGGAGGAGGAGGAGGAGGACGCGGAGGAGGAGGAGGAGGAGGAGGAGGAGGAGGGGGAGGAGGAGGAGGAGGGGGAGGAGGAGGGGAAGGAGGAGGGGGAGGAGGGCGAGGGGGAAAGGGGGGGAGGGCGAAGCGAGGAGGGGAGGCCGCTGGAGGCCGAGACGGCCAGTCGGCCGCGACCAGCCTGGCCACTGGGGCCCAAGGACAGAATTACAAATATATACACACACGAATGACGAGATTCCCCATATGTTCCCACATGTTCGGGGTGTTTGTCTTCCCCCCCACTTCCCGTAATTCCCCATCTTTTCTGGGGGATCGACGATTCATTGTGTCCGTGTGTTGTTTTTCCTCCTGACATGAGCGAGACAGCAGGCGAGCCCAGAATCGAATCGACGAGTCGGATCGGGGATCCAAATGAACGGGATCGGCGGAGAATCGGCGGCCGAGTCGGGAGAAGTCGCAGGGGCGGACGCCGGCACGCCCGTGGGCCTCTACTGAGAGATCGGATACATGTCGGAATCCGAAGTCGAAGCGGATCGGAGTCGAGAGCCGTCGAAATCGAATCGAAGCGCATCGGGGGCGTGGAAACGAGAGCCTCGACGAAAGACCCTCCGCGGTGGCAGCAGCGGCACGTGTTTCCTCTCTCGAGGGGCGAGGGCGAGAGCAGGCGGCGGCGAGCCCGGGCGCCTTCTCGGGGTCTGCCCCGGCGCCCCCGCCCTCCTGGGCCAGCCGCAGCTTCTGCTGCTCCCGGAGCTCCTCGAGCCGGGCCTGAAGTCGCCGGGAGGGGGAGAAGACGACGAGGACGAAGAGGACGAAGAAGACGAAGAGGACAAAGAAGACGGAGAGGCCGAAGCAGGAGACGAAGAGGGCGAAGAAAGAGCAGAAGACGAAGAAGCAGAAGAAGCAGAAGAAGACGAGGAGGACGACGAAGGCGAAGACCAAGAAGAAAAAGAAGGCAAAAAATAGTCGCCCAGACCTGCGCGCGTCGTGGCAAGAGCACGACGGGAGCTTCGGGGCAGCGTTCGGCCCCGCAAGGGCCCTCGCCGCGCCCCGGGGGCCGCCAACAATAAACCAGCTCGGGGTGCAAGACCGCCGGCGGGGAGGAGGGAGGGCCCGAGGAAGAGGGCAGGACCCCCCAGCATCGAATCGGAGCATCGGGACGGATCGGACGACCGTTGGGCTGCTGAAGGAAGGAACGCAAAATTTAAGTCGGGCGTGTCCCCCTACAGGGGGATGTTCGACGAACAGTTTAAAAAATATTCAAACAGATCCAAAATTCCCCCCCAAAAAAAATATACTTAAAAAATAGTCCCCAGGCTATTTCCCAACCCTCCTTGTGTTGGGCACTCCTTTTGAATAGAGCACTGTGGTATCCACCTCCCGCCCTCTCCTCCTCCTTCTCTTCTTTGTTCGCGGTGCCCTGCGGGGCTGCGATCTGCGCAACTGTCGCCACTTTCGTGGGCTCCTGGCTGTCCCGTGCAGGGCTGCGATCTGCGCAACTGTCGCCATTTTCGTGGGTTCCTGGCTGTCCCCTGCGGGGCTGCGATTTGCGCAACTATCGCTACTTTCGTGGGTTCCTGGGAGGCCCAGCGGAGAAACGTCTTACGCAGACCAATTTGAGGCCTCCCTGTCCCCTGCGGGGCTGCGATCTGCGCAACTGTCGCCACTTTCGTCGGTTCCTGGGAGGCCCAGCGGAGGTACGTCTTACGCAGACCACTTTGAGGCATCCCTGTCCCCTGCGGGGCTGCGATCTGCGCAACTGTCGCCACTTTCGTGGGTTCCTGGGGGGCCCAGCGGAGAAACGTCTTACGCAGACCAATTTGAAGCCTCCCTGTCCCCTGCGGCGGAGGCACGTCTTGCGAAAACCACTTTGGGGCCTCCCTGTCCCCTGCGGGGCTGCGATCTGCGCAACTGTCGCCACTTTCGTGGGTTCCTGGGGGGCCCAGCGGAGGTGCGTCTTACGCAGACCAATTTGAAGCCTCCCTGTCCCCTTGGCGCACCTGGCGCGCACCTGGCGCACCTGGCGCGCACCTGGCGCGCACCTGGCGCGGTGGGCGCACCTGGCGCGCCTGACGCGCTGGGCGCACCTGGCGCGCACCTCGCGCACCTGACGCACCTGGCGCACCTGGCGCACCTGTCGCACCTGTCGCACCTGGCGCACCTGGCGCACATGGCGCACCTGGCGCGCACCTGGCGCGCACCTGGCGCGCACCTGGCGCACCTGGCGCGCTGGGCGCACCTGACGCACCTGCCGCACCTGGCGCACCTGGCGCACCTGGCGCGCCTGGCGCGCCTGGTGTAACTGGCGCACCTGGCGCACCTGGCGCGCACCTGGCGCATACCTGGCACACTTGGTGCATCTGGCGCACCTGGCGCACCTGGCGCGCTGGGCGCACCTGGCGCACCTGTCACACCTAGCGTAGTCCTGGCGCACCTGGCGCGCCTGTCGCACCTGGCGCACCTGGCGCACTTGGCGCACCTGTCGCACCTGGCGCACCTGGCGCACCTGGCGCACTTGGCGCGCACCTGGCGCACCTGGCGCGCACTTGGCACACCTGGCGCAACTGGGGCACCTGGCGCACCTGGCGCGCACCTGGCGCACACGGGGCGCACACCTGGCGCGACTGGCGCACCTGGCGCGCGCCTGCCGCGCACCTGGCGCGCACCTGGCGCGCACCTGGCGCGCACCTGACGCGTTGGGCGCACCTGGCGCACCTGGCGCGCTGGGAGCACCTGGCGCGCACCTGGTGCACCTGGCGCGCTGGGCGCACCTGACGCACCTGACGCACCTGCCGCACCTGGCGCACCTGGCGCTCCTGTCGCGCATGGCGCAACTGGCGCGACTGGCGCAACTGGCGCACCTGGCGCACCTGGCGCGCCTGGCGCGCTCCTGGCGCCCACCTGGCGCACCTGGCGCACCTGGGGCATCTGACGCACCTGGCGCACCTGGCACACCTGGCGCACCTGGCGCACAGGGCGCACCTGGCACACCGGGCGCACACCTGGCGCACACCTGGCGCACACTTGGCGCACCTGGCGCGCCTGGCGCATCTGGCGCACCTGGCGCACATGGCGCACCTGGCGCACTTGGGGCGCACTTGGGGCGCACCTGGCGCACCTGGCGCGCACCTGGCGCACCTGGCGCACCTGGCGCACCAGGCGCACCTGGCGCACCCGGCGCGCTTGGCGCGCTTGGCTCACATGGCGCGCATGGGCTTCTGGGAGGCTCAGCGGAGGCACGTCCTACGCAGATCACCACTATACCATGGCGCCGAAATGTCCTTCGGTATTGAGTGGTCCTGAATGCAATTGTCACTTGTGTAGAAGGGGCTGGGTACGTCGCAGGATAATTTTCTACTATTTCCCAACCATCCTGTGGTGTTGGGTCCTCGTTTTGAAGAGACGGTGGCCCGCGTCTCCTCTCCTCCTCTCCTCCTCCGCCTACTCTCCCCTCCTATCATCCTCATCGTCATCATCATCATCATCGTCATCATCATCATTATCATCATCATCATCATCATCATCATCATCATCATCATCATCATCATCATCATCATCATCATCATCATCATCATCATCATCATCATCATCATCATCATCATCATCATCATCATCATCATCATCATCTCCTCTCCTCTCCTCTCCTCTCCTCTCCTCTCCTCTCCTCTCCTCTCCTCTCCCCTCCTCTTCACCCACCCAGTACACTGTTTCGTGGCTCCATAGGGAGCTCCACCGAAGGCCCCAGTGCCCGCGCCCGCATGCGTCACCCACACCCATTTCGGCACACCCCTCACACGTTTCGTGGCTCCATAGGGAGCTCCACCGAAGGCCCCAGTGCCCGCGCCCGCATGCGTCACCCACACCCATTTCGGCACACCCCTCACACGTTTCGTGGCTCCATAGGGAGCTCCACCGAAGGCCCCAGTGCCCGCGCCCGCATGCGTCACCCACACCCATTTCGGCACACCCCTCACACGTTTCGTGGCTCCATAGGGAGCTCCACCGAAGGCCCCAGTGCCCGCGCCGCATGCACACCCATTTCGGCACACGTTTCGTGGCTCCATAGGGTCCACCGAAGTTGCGTGGCACACCCCTCACACGTTCGTGGCTCCATAGGGAGCTCCACCGAAGGCCCCAGTGCCCGCGCCCGCATGCGTCACCCACACCCATTTCGGCACACCCCTCACACGTTTCGTGGCTCCATAGGGAGCTCCGCCGAAGGCCCCAGTGCCCGCGCCCGCATGCGTCACCCACACCCATTTCGGCACACCCCTCACACGTTTCGTGGCTCCATAGGGAGCTCCACCGAAGGCCCCAGTGCCCGCGCCCGCATGCGTCACCCACACCCATTTCGGCACACCCCTCACACGTTTCGTTAGGGAGCTCCACCGAAGGCCCAGTGCCCGCGCCGCATGCGTCACCCACACCCATTTCGGCACACCCCTCACACGTTCGTGGCTCCATAGGGAGCTCCACCGAAGGCCCCAGTGCCCGCGCCGCATGCGTCACCCACACCCATTTCGGCACACCCCTCACACGTTTCGTGGCTCCATAGGGAGCTCCACCGAAGGCCCCAGTGCCCGCGCCGCATGCGTCACCCACACCCATTTCGGCACACCCCTCACACGTTTCGTGGCTCCCATAGGGAGCTCCACCGAAGGCCCCAGTGGCGGCGCTCACATGCGCATGCGTCCCGCACACCCATTTCGGCACATCCCTGACAGGTTTCGTGGCCCCATCATCCACCGGAGGCCCCAGTGGCGGCGCTCACATGCGTCACCCACACCCACCCAATTCGGCACACCCCTCACACGTTTCGTGGCCCCATAGGGAGCTCCACCGAAGGCCCCAGCGGCCGCGCTCACATGCGTCCCCGCCACCCATCCCGGCACGCCCCTCACAACAACAGGTTTCGTGGCCCCATAGGGAGCTCCACCGAAGGCCCCAGTGGCACCGCCCGCATGCGTCACCACCCGCACCCAATTCGGCACACCCCTCACACGTTTCGTGGCCCCATAGAGAGCTGCACCGAAGGCCCCAGTGGCGGCGCTCACATGCGTCCCCGCCACACATCCCAGTACACCCCTCACGCGCTTCGTGGCCCCATAGGGAGCTCCACCGAAGGCCCCAGTAGCGGCGCTTACATGCGTCTCCGCCACCCATCCCGCCCCCCCCCCCGCAGCAGCATCATGTTTCGGGGACCCATAGGGAGCTCCACTGGAGGCCCCAGTGGCGGCCCGCACATGCGTTTCCGCCACCCATGTCGGCACGCCCCGCGCGTGTTTCATGTCCCCATAGGGAGCTTCGCCGAATGCCCCAGTGGCACCCATCTCGGCACACCCCTCACACGTTCCGTAATCCTATGGGGAGTTCCATTGAAGATGAAACCCGCAGCTGCGGTACTGACAACTGCATATGGTTGGGTTCTTCGCCAGGCTAATTTTGAATATTCCCCCTGTAAAGGGACAGGCCCGACTTGACGCTAAATCAGGAACGAAGCCCCCTATTGGCCCTGTGAGCGCCTCCGTGGCCCAGGAGGGCAAGAGGCACAGCACTGGAGGAGCCTCAGGAACGTCGAGCCCCTCCCGAACCCAAAATGTTCCTTACTTCAGCGTCTCGACTGTATGCGCCGGATCGGGCGGGCTGCATCGGCACGGAGCCGAAAGCGAATCGGATCAGCCGCGCCACGTTGCCCAACAGCGCCGTGCAAGCGTCGCGCCGCAGCGCCTCGTCGGGGTGTCGGCATCGAATCGGATCGGGCCAGCCAGAAACGATGCAGTCATCGGCCTGACCTAAGGAACGATAAATAAGGAACGAAGCCCCTGTTTTCCAATGAGTAACGCATAAGGAACGATCAATAGTAAATAACGCATAAGGAACGATCAATAACGCATGCAAGCCTCAGGAACGACCGAGCCCCTTTTGAAAAGTAAGTGATCCTTCCTCGAGCCGCTCACTGTATCGAATCGGATCGATCGGATCGAGTAGGACCCTGGGGGGTGGGGAGAGGTGGAGGAGGCCCGAGGAGAAAAAAGGGCGGAGAGGAGAAAAACCATCCTGCCTGTGCTCTCGACTCCCGCGGTCCTGCGAAGAAGCTCCGGCCCGAGCCCGTGATGCCGTGGAGCACCGACGACTACACGACAGAAGACCTTGCCCCCGCGGAAAAGTCGTGCAACTTTAGAATCGTCGATTTGTGTGTTTCCGTCGTCTTCGGTGCTTCGTCGTTTTGGCCTCCACGGGCCATTTCGGGCCATGGGACCATCAGAGCTGGACCCAGGATGAACAACTACGCCCGGGGAAGTCCCCAGGACGATTCTTCGACACGACCTGCAACACTTTCCAGGGGGGGCGCACGTCCGAAACAAGCTGGCGGCAAACCGAATACAGCACGACGCCGTCCGAGAGATATTTTGATCAGTGGGGACCAGCCCACTCGCTTCTACCCATTCGTTGGTGCTGTTGCGCTGTAATTGTTGTTGCAATGCTTGCTGCGTTGTGGCTGTTGTCGTCGTCCTCGCCCGCGACACGCCCGCGACCCACCCCGCGACCCACCCGGCGACCCACCCTGCGACCCACCCGCGACCCACCCGCGACCCACGCACATTGCTTTGACGAAAATTTGTCGCCTGCGGCGGGCTAGTTCCGCAACGTTGTTTGTGTTGTTTTCTTTGTTAAATGATGTTTTAAGGAGAAAATTATCCTCGCGAAGGACCCAACCATATGCAGTTGTGAATACTGCAATTGTGAATATCTTCTCGGTGGAGCCCCCTACGGGGCCAC